CTACGTTCTGAGACCCTCACTGCCACTGTCCAAGCTTGCTTGGCCCCGGCAGATGAACCTCAGGATTAAAGGGTGGGCTCAGTTCAGCGCATGCTGTGTCTCACCTAAAAAATCCACTGCGCAGGCTCGAAGGGTTAATGACCTTTCCCAAATCTTTGCTCGCGAAGACTGGCCATTACTTATTAATTTCTCCATGGACTTTTTTTTTTTTGTATGTGTGTTTTAAGTCTAATCTTCTTCATTATTTAAGAGAATTGTTCTTTTACAAATCAGCAACATGTATACGAACCTGAAGCAGATTATGTCTGAGTCGTATATGCGTAAGGGTATATGTCTCCTACACAAACACACAGATTTGAAAAGATGGGTCAACTACCTGATAATCATGGATCATATTGAAATTAACTGTCACCTACATCCTTCAACCTAGAGTTTTCTAGGAGCAAAACAAAAATTAAAGCCTCAAACAGTTTGAGAGATAAACATTGCACTGTGGACTTAAATACCAACAGCAGGACAAGCACTCTCCTCAGTGTCATCATAACTATCTGTGGTAGCTTTACCATCCTTCTGTGACAGTGATTTGATCCTGAACAACTGAAATAATCTTCCACTCCCCCACCTTGAATGGTTATTTCACTGAGAGCTGAGTTCTTTGAATGAGAACACAAGGCACCAATGTGTGTGAGTAGGGAAGACTCCTGATGCAGTGGGTTCAGTCCCTTCAGAGCACCCTTCAGGCACCTCCTTTGTCCTCTCTACCTCAGAATTGAATGCTTTTCTGGGGTACATGGCTTACTCTGGTGCTAATTACTTCACTCAGCTTTGAGGTAAGTTAACAAAACACTATGGAACTATAGGATGTCAAACACATATGTTCTTCTTCTGAGTGGTGTTTTTTGTGGTGTTTTGCTTGCTTATTTGTTTGTTTGTGGGTTTGTTTTGTTTTGGTTTTTTTGTTGTTGTTTTTGTTTTTGGTTTGAACTCAAGAAGTCTGTGAGTATCCAGTTTTTCTTCCACTGAAACCTCATACAACCTAGCCTCATATACTTCTAGGGATGGAGCATCCACAACTTCACTGGGCAACCTGTTCCACTACCTCATGATCCACACTGTAAAGAATTTCTTTCTAATATAGAATCTACATCTACTCTCCTTCAGTTTAAAGCCATTAACCCTTGTTTTATCACTATATACCCTTGTGTAAAGTTTTATCACTATATACCCTTGTGCAAAGTCCNTACATTTTGTCTGCCATATGACCCAAGCTGTCTCCCTCCCCAACTCCTAAGTCTATGCTGTTTGTGTCTTGTTTTCTCCTCCATTCTTCTTTTTAGTTTCCACTCTTCCGCCTTTCAAATTCCTCTTTCACTTAAGGTGTAAATCATTCAATACAACAGGGAATTTTACTTCTGGTTTTGCTCTCCATATCAAATTTGCAGTGTTTAATCTACTTCCAGAAACAAAAGCTTTTAAGTACAATCTCATAAGGACTTCTGAGACAGTAGTTTGCGGGCATTCTATTGGTCATTCTGGTGATGTTGAAATAAATCCCTAATGGCTTTTACATAGCTTAACTGAACATTTTCTAATACCAAATGTTCTTTACGTATGATTTCACATGCTTAGTTGATCTAATCTTCATGATCTAAATTAGTTTTCAAGTGTCACCTGGAAAGTTTTAATGTCTTAAGTTTTGAAGACATGAGGCAAAGTCCAATTCTGGTAAAAAAACAAAGTCCAAATCTTCAAAACATCCCAAAACTTACAGCAAGAACAGTATTATGAGGCTATTCCAAAATGTACAGAATTAGGATTTCATGCCTCCTCTGTTAACCTTCTCTTTTCACTAAGGTTCAAGAGCAGCAATAACTCTTACTTCTTCTGGACACTCAGGACAAACTAATCAGCCCTACGGACAACATCCATGTTATTTGCACCATTCCTTCATACAAAAGGTGGACAGGCAGATGGAATTGTCCACCAGATGGACAACAACAAGGGCTGTGACACCCAATGACTGAAATTTTCCACCAGTCCCACATCCTGTACATAGAGAAGTTGACTTGGATTTCCTACTCTGGTATCCAGTCTAATTGTTGGGCACTTAACAGCTTAAGAGAGACAGCCTGCCCAGAAAAACATGGGAGTAGTGCCAAAAACAGAAGTGGAGGGAGTCAGATAGGAAAAAAACGTCATAATGAAGAGCAGGTTCAAAAGTGCTGCTGAAGAACTGAACCCAAAGGAAACTCCATTGGTCTGAACTGGTCTGCAGCAGATGGACACATTACAGCCCATTGTCTAGGGCACTCTGTTCAAGTCGGAGTATAGCCAAGTGCTACAGTTCTCCACGTTGGACATTAGGTTTTCAATGAAGCTGCTGCCTCTTTGCCTGGTTGACTCACTGATACGTCAGCTGAACAATTATAGTGACTTTCCTGCCAGTTTCCCCCTGCCCCCGATTGAGCTTTAAAGGCTGGGACAAACTGCCCACAGTCTAATAGCAGTGGACTTGTACCAGCCTGTTGGGGCCCCTGGTGGTCTAGTGGTTAGGGTGCAGGACTCTCACCGCTGCGACCCGGGTTCGATTCCCAGCCCCCCGGGCAGATGGAGCTCGT